GCAGCAGGTAAGGGGCCACTGGATAAGGAGAAGTTGAAAATAAGAGAAAATAAGATGATCAAAGGATCAAATTGCTGGAAGAGAGAGGAGGAGATGGGATCAGGGGTACCTGTAGAGCTCTTGGCATTGGCTGGAAGAGCCTCCTTGTGCTCTGACCTGGGAGCAAAGGAGCAGAGCCTGGGGGAGGGGTGATTTGGAAGTGTGGAATTGGAATGGAGAGCACTTGGGAAGGATGGCCTTGATTTTCCTAGACCAACACCTAAAGCATTGGCATGAAGAGACACCAGCCTCAGCCTTTGCCAAAGCACACACTCAATAAATGCTCTGGAGCTTGTATGGCCTTATCTTTACTGCTTCCTAGAAGCTGAAAATAGGGAGAAACTTTCACTTTTTCTCTAAAATAGAGCACTGAGGGATTATTAAGGAATTCCTTTTCAGGAAGTTTCTGTGGACACAATGTCGAAAAGATGTTTCCCTGGTCAAATGACATGATAATAACGATAATAGCTAACATTTATGTAGCACTTTATAGTTTTATGTATATTATCTCATCAGGATGGGGAAATAGAAAGCTATTCTATGAAATAAGGGATCTTGACTTTTGGTCTAGGGAAGATAATAGAAATAGAAGTATATTTGAGTATCTTAAGTTGAATTTTAAAAGTTCAAATAGTCACCCACCCTCTTGTTTCACTCCACTACTTCTCTTTACTCTGAGGAATGTGATTTTTTTTTTGTCTATGATTTCTTCAAATACCTAGTGTGGAAACTCCCTCCTTAGATGCAAGTAGCCACTAGTCTGTAAAGTCTTAGAGCTTTGCCTGTTGTCACAGCTTGGTATGAACGGGTTAGAGGGAGGACTGTAACCCCTGGGTCTTCCTGACTCCAAGGCTGGCCCTCTGGCCTGCACCGTATTGCTTCTCCTAAGTTAAAGGGTTTGAACTTTCCCTTTATCATCTCGGCCAAAGCGCTAGTGAGAAATGAGATTTAGACTGCGCAGTTGGGGACCCCCAGAGATGAAACGGAAGTTGTCATGGAGACCCTGGCTTTGTGTGTGTGCCCCATCGCCTTTTACTTCGAATGCATGACCCTCCCCAATGCCGGCCAGAGAAGGGTCAGGCCTGCCTCTGAATTCCCAATAATGCTCTTGGGCAGGAAGTCAGCTCTGCCTGTCAAATGGAGTCCCTTGAAGTTTATTGTCTGTTATTCATCTCTGTGAATACTAAACCCCAGGGATGGGTTTAGCAGACACTGCTGAAGGCTGCCCTTTGCCATCGATCATACTTTTCCCAGGTGTTGGTGTATTAACTCCTCCACGCTTTCCCAGTCCTGGTGCTCGTTACTTCAGCTTTGTTCGGTCGTTAGAGACTCTTTGTGACCCCATTTTTGGGTTTTCTTGGCAAAGATACTGGAGCGGTTTGCCATTTCCTTCTCCAGCTCAATTTACAGATGAGGAAAGTGAGTCAAATGTGGTTAAATGATTTGCCCAGGGTCACACAGCTAATAAATGTCTGAGGCTCAATTTGAACTCAGTTCTTCCTGACTCTAGGCTCAGTGCTCTATGCACTATGATGTGCCACCCAGCTGCCCTGGCTACTGTTTCTTTGAAGTAATTGTGGATTCAAATCCTGCCTCTCTCACTTACTAGGTGTGTGACCATTGGGTAAGTCACTGCTCCTCTCTGGGCCTCAGTTTCCTCATCTGAAAAATGAGGGAACTGGACTAGATGTGTTCTGAGGTCCCTTCCAATGTTACATCTAGGCTACTATGACCCCTCAGCCCTAACCCGGCCTACCCACAATGATGTTCTGTTTTTCCCTCCAAAATCAGAGAGTTGTATGGTAGACACCCCCCTCCCACCCCCACTAATACTTCCTCCATCTTTAGGCTCATTCCCCCTAAAGGATAGGCTGTTCAATAAGCCTTTATTAAGTGCCTACTATGTGTATGGCACTGGAGTGGTTTTTTTTTTTTCTCTAGTCCTGTGATTTCAACAGTGTAGAGTATTCTTGGCATGTGAGGCCAAGGTAGAAGCCGATTCATAGCAAGATTTCTCATGCAATTTGTAGTCTATAGTCTGAGACAACAGCTAGGTAGTTCAATGGATAGATCACTGGGCCTGGAGTTAGGAAGACCTTAGTTCAAATTTGGCCTCAGACACTAGCTGTGTGACCCTGGGGCAAATCACTTAACCTCATCACCCCTTGGAGAAGGAAACAGCAATCCACTCCAGTATCTTTGCTAAGAAAACCCTTATGGACAGTAATGGTCTAGGAACAGTCAGGAAGAATCAGATGCGACTGAGCAAAGTCTTTGAGAGCTGCCTGGGACTCTGAGAAGTTCAGTGACTTGCTGCGAGCACAGAGTCAGTAGGCGTAAAGAGGCAGCTCTTGAACTCAGGTCTCCTGCATTGCAAAGCCAGCTCGTTCCCTCCACCATGCCCAGGCTCCCTGGGCTCTGGGGATACAAAAATTAAAAACTGAAGAAGCCGCACATTCTTGAAGGAGGGGGGAGCTCAGTGTGGTCCGTAGGATACAAAGTAGATAGAGAGTGATGGTGGCAAAGGGGAGAGCCAGGGCGTGGAACACTCAGAGCAGGCGAGGACGATTTCTTCTGAGAAGGTGTGAGAAGTCTTAAGAGAGGACCTCATCTGAACCTAGTAGGGAGAAAAGACTTCGAGAAGTCCAAAGTTGCCAACATTCTCCTTCAGGGGACTTGACCCTTGGAGCAGGAGGTGGGCAGAGGGTCTGAGACTCTTCGCCCACCGGATGCCCAGCCGGCCCGGGGGTGTTTGACTAGGTCATTTGAAGGAAGGGAAGGACCTGAGATTTCTTCATTGTTGCAGGTCACCCGGGAAGGTAACATCCTCCCCAAGCAATGCAGATCAGCCCCGGCATGCTGTCTGCCTGTTGCCTCTGAGGCTGTGAACGCTGGCTGGGGTAGGGGTGGAGGAGAGATGAGGACTAAGGCGGAGGGACTGACGGCCACACAGCCGTGCGTCAGACTCTGGGCTCGAACTTCCTCACTGTGGTCTGTTAGGCCCCACTGACTCAAGTCATCTATTTAACTACATTACAAAAATAGGAGAGGAGGCCGTCTGTTGTGTGTTGGGGATTCTGCCGGGAGCAGCCGCAGGAGCTTGGGACAGGGGGGTGAGGAGTGCGCGCTCATGTTTGGTTGGAGACCCGGGGCAAAGGCCGGTAGTGGAGAAGAAAGGAGGGGAGTCGGGAGTAGGGGGCCAAGGAGTAGCCACGCCCCCCCCCCCCCAGTTCCCAGGCTGGGCTGCCGCGGGGAGGGGGCGGGAAGGGTAACTTACGCGACCCTCCCGAACCCTCCCCTGCGCTCACAGTCCCACACTCGCTTCTTAGCTGCGCGGGGGCCGGCCGGGCGGGCGGCGGGACCGGGACCAGATGAATTGGGGGGGGGGTGAATGACCCTGGCAGGGCCCTTTGTTCCCGCCCAGGCAGGAGCGGGGGCACAGAGCCGTTCACACGCCATCGCAGGGCATCCTGCTGGGCACGCCGGGGAAGGGGCACTGCAGCTGGTCATGGGACTTGGCCGGGGGCATCGCTCCCGGCTCAATAGCCTGGCCCAGCAGGGTCTGGCTGGGGCTGGAGGGGGAGGGGCCTCTTCCCCCAGTGCCTCCCCCGCCCCCTCAGCCCCCAGCCTGGGGATTGGACGTGGCTCTGGGCCCCTCCACCAGTCCGCCCTCGCTTCTGCGGGTACCTGACTTCCAGGCTTCTTCCTTTTGGGTCTGGCCGTGGGAACCCTTGCACTTAGTGCCCTGTTCTGAGCGGGGGAATGGGGGGCCGCAGGGTGGGAGGTGGAGATCCTGGCACCAGAGGAGGGAGTGGAGCCCCTTCGGGCCACCGACAGCGCTTAGGATCCTGGCCCTAGAGCTGGGAGGGCATCCAACCCAACCCTCTCATTTTATGGAGGAGAAAACTGAGGCCCAGGAGGATGAGGGACCTGATCAGGCTCATACAGCCTTTCCTTCGAGCTGACAGTGCCCAATAGAATCATGGATTTAAAGCTGTAAGCCACCTTGGAGGCCATGTAAGTCCTAGGATCATTTTACAGAAAAACAAACTGAGGCCTTAGAGGTTCTCTGAACTTGCCTAAATTTCCAGTGGTGGTACATGGCAGAGTGCAAATTCAAACTCAGGCCCTCGAAACCTGGCTTCCTGCCTTTCTGAGCCTCCCTTTCCTCATCTGTAAAGTGAGAGGCTTGTACTAGGCAATCTCCAAGTTCTAGATCTGGGATCTGTAATCATTCTCATTATCGTAACAATAGCTGATGCTTATACCAAAATGAAGTTACCAGAGTTCTCCTGCGATCTCCTTTAAGCCAAGTTCTTTCCACTGCACTTTGCCCATCTCATCCCATGGGATTTGGACTAGAAGAGACCTGGATGCTCTAGTCTAGGCCCCTGAAACAACATGTCCATGATCCCCTGGGTGGTTAAACCTGAATCCAAACCTAGGCATGATTCCTAATCCAGTTGCCTTTCCATGGTGCTTCAGGAAATTCCAGCACTTTTCACCCTCCTCTACACCCCCTGTTCAGGCGATTTTGTTCCCAGATTAAGGCAAGTTCTCCAACCCAATATTAAGAGTAAAGTTTTAGGGACAGAAATGAGGGCCAACCACAAGTCCCCTCTCCACTTGCTAACTCCTTCCCACGAAGGCAACACCATACCTACTAAATAAAAGAATTAGGAGGCAATTCACTCTCCCGAGCTCTGTTTTTACTCCGAGTGCTTGAAGACATATTGACTAAGGCCCCGGAGAGGAGTAACTTTGGACAAATGCCGACGCTGAGGTCAGCAGGGACTTTCCTAGTGATTTAAGTCATTGTGGGTGAGGGGGGGCCTCTCCCACCCCTCCCTCTGCCCCAGAAACCACAGAGCTAGATCTGAGGCTGACTTGGGAGGTCAGAAGGAGCTTCATGCCTTGAGCTCTTGCTTTACCCTTCACTGTCTTCTCCTCTCCCTCCCCAGGCCTGGCCAGCAGTCCTGAATGTGCGTGTGGCCGAAGCCACTTCACATGTGCAGTGAGTGCCTTGGGGGAGTGTACCTGTATCCCAGCTCAGTGGCAATGTGATGGTGACAATGACTGCGGGGACCACAGTGATGAGGACGGCTGCAGTAAGAAACTCCTCCAGGGAGGGGGGCCAGGGTCGGGAGGAAGTCATAACGAGAATGATGGGGATCATTAATCAAGCAGCCATAGCCACTGTGTTAGACTCTGGCTGTACAAAGACAAAAGGGAAGAGTTCCTGCCCCCAGGGAGCCTACGTTCCATCAGGGAGATGATATGCATGTATAATTACATGCGAAATAAATACAAAACAAATTACAAGGCAGTTTTTAGATGGAGGTGATACACTTAACTGCTGCTGGGGGTGTGGAACAGGAATCTGGAAAGGCTTTATGTAGAAGCCGGCACTTGAGCTAAGCTTTGAGCTAAGCTAGGGATCCTGAGAGGCAGTGGTCGGGGGAGAACATTCCAGGCAGGGGGACGGGGCCTGTGCAAAAGCAGAGATGGAAGCCTGTGAGTGTGGTGTGTCTGGACCAATAAGATGGCCACTTGTGGCCTGAAAGAGAAGCTGGAGCCAGAGGAAGAAAGGCTTTAAGGAAGGGCCAAGCAGGACAGCAGCTGACTTTGGGATGGGGCTTTTTGACGTCTTAAGATACTGTATGTCATATTCCAAGAGAAGGCCATTTGGCCTCTGTGATTTCCCAGCAGGGCAATTGACTGTTCCCAGTGTACCTGTAGAGTTGGAATCTTAGAACAGGAGGTTTGTTATACCACCGACCTTACCCAATCTACCATTAGGGCCTCCTCAGCACGATTTACTTTGGTCCAAGTCAGCAAGCATTTATTAAATATCCCCAAAGTGCCTGGTACTTCTCTAGATTCTCAAAAACAAAATAGTTACTGCCCTCAGGACACTTATATTCTCCCCAGGACAGGGGTCTCATACATAGATAATTAAATACTAAATATATATGAAATACATTTTTTGTGTCTGTTACTCCACTGTGGAGGCATACATGTAACAATAATATTAAATATACATTAATAATACATATAAATGTAATATATATTAAATACATATTAATAATATGTAGAAATGTAATATATAATAAATAATATGTAATAAATAATATTAAAACAAAATATAAAGAAGACTTTTTTTGTGTGTGTAACATAGATGCTTCCTTAAATAGCTTTGAATGAAGGAAAATGCATTTATTAGGCTCTTGCTATGTGCCAAGCACTTTACAAATATTATATCATTTGATTCTCACAACAACCCTGGGAGGTTGGTACTATTCTTATTCCAATTTTACAGATGAGGAAACTGAGGCAGACAGGGTAAGTGACCTGTCCAGGACAGTAAATATCTCGGGCTAGATTTGAACTTGGGTCTATCCAACATGTCACCAACCTGTGCATCCCTTGTTCTTCTCCATGCTCAGCCCACCTAGTTTTCCAGTCATCTGAATCCTTGATCATATCTTTTACATCACTTCTTTATTCATAGGAATGTGATTCAATGGAAAGGGACCTGGATTTGGACTCAGTGGACCTGGGTTCAAATCTTCCTTTGCTACGTCTGTAGCTATGTGACTTTGGACAAGTTACTTAGCCTCTCTGGGCCTCAGTTTCCTCATTCTTAAAATGATGAACTGGATGGCTTCTGAGTCCCTTTCTTTTTAAAAATGTAACTTTTAATTTACTTTTTGTTAATTAACAAACATCAATTTTTTCTTCCTCCCAGCCATCCCTATTGAAACGTGTATGCACAGTTAAGCAAAACAAATTCCCACAAGGGCCATCCAAAAATGTGCATCTCACTGTGCACATTGGTTCTCATCATCTCTCTAACATGCCTTGGTGTTGAACTCGGGAATTATGGTTGGTTATTGCATCGATCAGAGTGTCTGAGCTCCTTTCCTTCTCCATTTGTGGTCCTATGGAGGTTCAGTTTATGGTTGTGCCTCTTGCTAACAGTGTGATCGGGTCTCCCTTTCCTCATCTGTAAAATGAGTTGGAGGAGATGATCCCCTTAAATTCTCCCTAATCAGAACCTATGAACGAATACATTCTATTTGTATGTCAGTGTAAGATGGGGAACTGCCCTGGTGGGGCCATCTGTTGGAGTAGATGAGTCTTCAAGAGTTGCTTGAGGCAAGGAAATGTTTAAGTGATTTTGCCCAGGGCCATGGGGTCATGTGATTATAGATTCAGAGCCTAATTTTATAGAAACTGAGCCCCAGAGAGGCCCCAGGATACCACAGGTAGAAAGCAGCAGACCTGGAGAAAGGAAGCCACTTCAGTCATCCCTGGACTGTGTCCTCGGCGAAGGAACGTCGATCTGGGACATAGAGAGCCGACATGTTAGGAGACACCCTGAGCCCAGGTTGGCTGATATGCTAATGGATCAGCTTGCTGCTTGAAACGATTTAGAGCCGGAAAGGGTGATTTGCCTAGATTTGCCTAGATTTTCTCCCTCAGTCGTCCTGCTGCTGCTCTAGCCTGACATCGCATCCCTAGTCTTCTGCCATATTAGAATCATTGTTGGTAACTGGTTTCAGAAAGAGGAAAACAGGTTGAATCTGCAAATGACTGACTAGTAAGCTCAATGCCAGTTCTTGGCAAAATTCTAGAGTCTACTCTAAAACAGTATCTGTAAGCACAGAAGAGAGAGCGGCTACCTGGAAAGTATCAGAGGCAGGATTGGAACCCAGGTCTTCCTGACTCCAAGACCCGTTACCTATAGACAATGCCACGATACTTTACGTGTATGTATGCAGAGGCAGCTAGTTAATTCAGTGGATGGTGATAGACCTGGAATTGGCAAGGCCTGAGATTAAATCCTACTTCAGATGTGTGGCCCTGTGGAAGTCACTTGATCCTTTTGTGCCTCAGTTTCCTCATCTATAAAATGGAGATATTAACAGCACCTCCTCACAAGGTTGCTGTAAAGATCAAAAGCGTTAACACATCCTCTTGTGTTCTGTACATGTTGGCTGTTATTATTATTATTATCATTATACATAAAGATATTTATTTCTTCTCTAAATTGGCAGACAACCAGCTGCTTGAGAGGTTTACGCATTCTGTAAACGTCCCTGACCTCCCAGTTGGTACATGCACCCAGTAGACTGACCCACCTTATTCTGTGTATCCAGGGGTGACGTTCCTAACTCACCTTTGGTGCTTTGGGTGCGTTCCCCAGGCCAGCCCACGGCCTCTGCAGCTCATTCTTGTTTGTGACCAGAAGCAGGAATTATCAGAGGGGATGGGGAGTGAGTACCATTTGTGACCTTGAGCAGAGGTATCCATCTGAAGTTAATTGGCCCTGATAGGAATTGAACCTACAACCTCGGCCTCATTAACACCCATTCTATCCAGTTGAGCTAACTAGCCCAGACAAGGTACTCATTACATATTAGCAACATGTATTTGCCAAGAGGAAAGCTGAAAAAAAAAAAAGACATTTCTTTTTTTTTCCCTTTCTTTTGTTCCCTCTTAATTTCTATAAGGTTTTAATTGCCCAGTGCTAGCCTTCTAAGGATCAGAGAGCTCGAGTTGGAAGGGCCTCAGAAGTCAGATAGCCCAACCCCTACATTTTGCAGATGAGGAAACTGAGGTCCAGGATAGTTAAATGATTTTCCCAAAGTTATATATGTATTAGAGATGGGATTGGAGCCCAGGTCTTCTGACTGAAAAACTCGGACTTACTCCATTCTAGCACGTTATATCTTACCCTCTCATAATAATTTACCCTTCTGTGACAGTGTTTGGGGGGGGGGCTAACTTCACTGATGTAGGGAATTGTTGGTGAAGAAAGCTCCGCTGATGTAATTTGGCCGCTTCCAGTCGTATTTGGCCTGGGTCACGGAGAGGTCAAGTTACTCGCCTGTGGTCTCAGAGCCAATATGTGGCAGAGGGGGATTTGAACCCAGGTCTTCCTAATTCCAAGCCTGGCCTTCTACCCACTCTGTCACTTTACCTCTCAGATAATACTTTAACATTTGCAAAATGATATCCTCACAACAAACCTTTGGGCTAGTTGTTTCTTGTATTTGTGGGGGGGGGGGGAAGGTGTCGAGGCTTGCCCGGAGATACCGACAATGAAGGGATCTCCCAGTATAAAAATTCCCTCCACCTCTGCTGATTAACAACTCCTCTTAAATTTCTAGTCTCAGAGATTGCCTGGGAGCATTGAGAGGTTGAATGATTTGTCCAGGGTGGGTCAGTCAGTACGTGTCAGCGTAAGACTTGAACTCAGATCTTCCTGACTCCAAGGTGTGGTCTCTATTCACTAAGACATATTACCTCCTATTACAAGTATTTTTATGCCCATTATACAGATGAGGAACCTGCATAGCCTTGGGTCACACAGCTAGTAAATGTTACTGATTAGGTTCAAACCCAGGTTCTCCCGGCTCCAGATTGTGCCCTCTCTCTCTGATGTTAGACTCTGGAACATGGGATGTGAGGGAGAGGGTTGGGCCTGAGCAAGGTTGCTAGTTTCACATGGCCTTTCTTTCCCCCTGGGGCTCAGTGCTTCCCACCTGCTCCCCTCTGGATTTTCACTGTGACAATGGCAAATGCATTCGACGCTCCTGGGTGTGTGATGGCGACAACGACTGTGAGGATGACTCAGATGAACAGGACTGTCGTAAGTGCCAACCGGGGTGGGGTCTGGGCAGGCCGAGCCCGGGCTCTGGGCGAGGCTGGGGGAGGATTCCATGGGGCTCTGCACACCAGAGGTATTACCACTGCCTCCCTGGTGTGGAGTGTTCCGTCTGTCTCTGGGCCCCCAGCCAGGGAGCATCCCCCAGGGAAACGCCAGGTGACACCTGAGGGCTGGCTGAGTGGGCCCCAAGCGCCTGGGGCCCCCCAGTTCTGACCTCTCTGTGTCTTGTGTTCACAGCCCCTCGAGAGTGTGAGGAGGATGAATTCCCCTGTCAGAATGGCTACTGCATTCGAAGCCTGTGGCATTGCGATGGAGACAATGATTGTGGGGACAACAGTGATGAGCAGTGTGGTAAGTGGGAGGCATCACGGTGTGATGGGGAGAGGGCTGGATTTGAAGTCAAGGGGACCTGAGTTTGAATCCCGGCTCTGCTTGGACGAGTCACATAACTTGTCTGGGCCTTACTTTCCTCATCTATAAAATGGAGACAGGCTAGGCCCTTTCTAGCTCTAAATCCCATGGTGTTCCATCTTGACCCCGAAGAGGATCAATAAACATTTATTAAGTGCCTACTATGTGCTAGGCACTGTGCTAAGCACTAGAGGGGAAGGTATGCCCTCCCTTTTTCCCCTTGGAGAAGTGAAGAGTTTGTGAATAGAGACTGATACATATCTTGTATATCATATATACATATCATGGTCACTCCGTCAACTACTCATTGTCACAAGGGAAGGCTTACTGGGTTGTGAGGAGAAAGAACGGCAGGCAGATAAAGAAACTGACTGTGATGTAAAAATGCAAAAAGCAGGAATAAAACCTTAATTTTACAATAGATAAATAAATAAATCCAGTGGGACTTAGGAGAAAGAAAAAGAGAATAGCAGGGGAGCTAAAAACAGCATTCAACAACCCAGGCAGTTCTGGAAACCATTCGTTTCTTCATTCAACAAACATTTTGTGGACCTACTATGCACAAGATCGTGGCTACCCTAACTTGAACAACAAGAGGAACCAAGGGTGGGAAGGCTGGACTGAGCTATGCAGGTGCCCCAAAGACCAGAGTCAGATTGAGCCTGTTCATAGGCTTGGGTTTGGCTCCAGGATTTAAAGGGTCTGAGGAATCCCCAGAGAGAGGAAGTCCGGGAGTCGGGGGGAGGGGATTGGCACCAAAGCTGGGGGGCCCTCAGGAGGCTCCCCAGGGCAGGAGTGGACAGCCTGGTCTCTCTCCAGACATGCGCAAGTGCTCTGACAAGGAATTCCGCTGCAGTGACGGCAGCTGCATCGCGGAGCATTGGTACTGTGATGGTGACTCAGACTGTAAAGACGGCTCAGACGAGGAGAGCTGCCGTGAGTGCCTTTGGCCCCTAGGGTGACCACAGAGGGACAGGGGTCAGGTAGTGGGTCCCACCTCCTGGGCATAAGTGCCAGGCCTGTGGCTGAGCGAGTCCAAATAATAACTCACCTTTTCATAGGACTTTAAAGCTTGGAAAGCAATTTCCTCATGCTAGCCCTGAAGCGGATATTGAAAGAATAACTATCCCCATTTTAGAAATAAGGAAACTAAGGCTCTGTGAGATTAAGGGATTTTACCATGTGTCTGAGGTAGGATTTGAACCCTGGTCTCCTGACTCCCAAGGCCAATACTCTTTCACTGCACTGCCCCTGAAGTAGCTGTGGCTAGACCTGGAGAGAAGTTGGACAAATCCCTTTAAGTGAGTAGGGAGGCGTCATTTTTCTTACCCATCTGACTGAAGCATCTTTATGGGGCACTGCCCAAGGGAACTCTGTGATAGTTGAGTTGGGGCTGTCACCATGCGTTATATGTTTCCCCTGAAAGAAGCCAATGATCGTTTACATTGAGCTCCTGCTATGTGAAAGCCACCATGATAGGCGTAAGGTACACAAAGGTGAATCATAAAATGGTCCCTGCCCTCATGGAGCTTACGTTCTACAGGGGTGGGGGTGAGGGGGAATAACATATATGATGTGTGTGTGTGTGTGTGTGTGTGTGTGTGTAGAGAGCTATAGATATAGAAAGGTATCTATAGATCTATATATGGATAGATTTATAGATAGACCTATCTATCTATATCCATCTGTGTGTATGTATATGCTTTGTCTAGGGTCAACCAGTCTGGTATAAATACATACATATAAATATAAATATGTATATGTATATTTACATACGTACATACACACACATATAATTATTTATGGAGAGAGCCTTAACAATTAAGGGGATCAGGAAAGGCTCCCCTCAGGAGTTTGCCCGTGAGTTGAGCACTAAAAAACCTTGGGATTCTAAGAAGCAGATAGGGATTGAGTGCATTCCAGGCATGAGGGCCAGCTTGTACAAAGACATGAAAGAGGATCAATCATTGAGCATATATGTAAAATGAAGGCAGTCTTTGCTCTCAAAGGGCTTACATTCTACTAGGGGAAAACATGTTCACAGATGAGTTAATAGAACAGGATTTATATAAAATAAATACAGAGTGATTTTTTGGGGGGAGGGATCCTAATAGCGGGTGGAATCAGGAAAAGGCCTCTTGAAAGAAGTGAGCTTCATTTGAGCTGAGCCTTAAATGAAGTTAGGACCTGGAATGCCGAGGCCTGAGACTGTTTCCTCTTGTCCACCCCATTAGCCTCGGCAGTTCCTGCACCTCCCTGCAGCCTGGAGGAATTCCAGTGCGCCTATGGCCGCTGCATCCTGGACATCTACCACTGTGATGGGGATGACGACTGTGGGGACTGGTCCGACGAGTCTGACTGCTGTGAGTGCCCTTTGGCCGGAGGCGGGAGGCAAGGGTGTTGGAGAGTTTCTAGGATGATTAGATGAAAAGTGGTGAGTGGCGAACTGCGGTCCTGGGGAGGAGTCTCTGAATTCTAGGCAGCCTTCGTAAGAGTTAATATTCATTCATTCACTCAGTTACTCGTTTATTCATTCGTTTGTTCATTCACAATCCTTGTTTGTTCATAAATATTTCTGCTGCGCTCTGTGCACAAGGCCCCAGGAAGGGCCTGGGGCCAGGAGACTAGCTTTCTGAAGAAGTATGTCACAAGGGTCTCTGAGTACAGGATGGCTGGAGAGACACACATCACAGCTGTTTACGCCCTTTGTGACCTCTGGCAAACCACTGAGCCTCCTTGGGCTCATCTTCATCTGCAAAATGAGGGGGTTCGATGAAATGGCGTCCGAGGACCTCCCAGCTTGAGACGCATGACCCTTTGAACTGGGTAGTAACCATAATCTTCCATCCTTCTCCCTGCCCAATCCCTGCCTAGCCTCCCACCAGCCCTGCCGATCAGGAGAGTTCATGTGTGACAGTGGCCTCTGCATCAATGCCGGCTGGCGCTGCGATGGGGACGCGGACTGTGATGACCAGTCTGATGAGCGAAATTGCAGTGAGTGGGAGAATGGCGCTGGCGGGATGGGGTGGGTGGCTTGTAGTGGGCTTGTGGTGGAGAGGAGGCCCCAGGGAGAAGGCCAGGGAGGCGGTGGGTGAGGGACGAGGGATCCAGCTGCCACCTTGGCTGAGCTCTGGATTGGGGGCTGGCTAAGGATGTTGGAGAGGTCCGGAGAGGGGAGGAAAGTGTTTCAGAGCTGCCCCCCGACCTAGACCTTCCCTCCCACCTTCTCCAGCTACTTCCATGTGCACGGCGGAGCAGTTCCGCTGTAAGTCTGGCCGCTGTGTCCGCTTGTCTTGGCGTTGTGATGGGGAAGATGACTGTTCGGACAACAGTGATGAAGAGAACTGCGAAAACACAGGTCGGGCCCCTCAGCCCTGCCTCTGGCCCCTTAACAAGTACCCTGTAACATGGGCAAGACAGGGCAAAGATGGCGCCCTTGCCACCCAGCTTGGGCCAGGAGTATTCATGGTTTAGCTTTACCTGGCCTGGTGGGAACCACCACCCTTTCCCCAAGGAGTATGGACTATGAGGCCATAGGATCATGGCTTTAGAGCTGGAAGGGAGCTCCGAGGACATCTCTTCTCCAATCCCCTCATTTGACAGATGAGGAAACTGAGACCCAAGGAAGTTCCGTGGTTTACTCAGGGCCATGCAGGTAGCGTTAGTGGTGAGATTTGAATCCAGGACCTCTAACTCCAAAGCCAACAAAACCAGTGTTATGAGCATCACTTTCTGTTAACATCTTTATTTACATATAGGTCTGATTGGGGCCAGAGGTTGGGCAGGAACATACTGCTTTAGATGGCTGGTTGATTTCCTTCTAAACCATTTTTAGGGTTATATCATTGCTACCTTTCCCTTCATGCCAAGAGTTCCTTGCCATCTCGCTCTATCAAAACCTAATGGAAAGTCTGGGGATTCAGTCTTGCCAGATCTATGCCTTGCTCTGGAGCCCTGGAACACCCTGCCACCCTCACCACCCGACTCACCCAAATCCCAGGCCAGCTGTGTCTTGCCTTAGAAAACGTCAGGCTCCCGTCCTTGCCAAGTGTTCCCTCTGTTGCCCCAGCTCCTCCCCTGACCTGTGCTGTCCCCCTCTCCCCAGGAAGCCCCCAGTGTGCCTCAGATCAGTTCTTATGTGAGAACGGGCGCTGTATCGGCCAGAGAAAGTTATGTAATGGTGTCAATGACTGTGGAGACAACAGCGATGAGAGCCCCCAGCAGAATTGCCGTGAGTATCTCCTGGCAGGGGCGGGGGGGGCACTGCTTAATTGTAAGTTTTGGAGGAGTTTTTTGAGCTGTGAGTACAGAAATAGCTAACCCAGATCTTCTAATACCTTCATCTTACGGATGAGGAAACTGAGTCCCAGAAAGAGGAAGTGATTTAGAATCATAGATGGAAGGATCTTCAGAGAGCATATATTCCAATAGCTTCATTTTCTAGATGAAACTTAGGTCTATCCAGGAGAAGTGACTTGACCAAAGTCCCACAGGTAGTAAGAGGCAGACGTAGGGTTTGAGCTGACCTCCTGCTTCTAAGTACGGTGTTCACTCGCCCAAGGTCACACAGTCAGTAAACGGGTGGATGAGTCAGAATTTGAACTCCAAACCCAGCCCCCTTCCTGTGACCCCCCACCCTGCCCAATTAGCAGGGCTTCCGTTCCTGTACAGCTCCTAGGGCTAACAGAGAACCCTCTCTAAGGACTTTTCCAGCTGCAGGAGCAGCTCTCCATGGTCTTGGTGGAGTGCCAAGCTGGCTCTCCTTAGGGAGCATGTTGGGCTCAGCTCCCATCTCTGACTTGACTGGCACAGGGCCTCGGACGGGTCAGGAGAACTGCAACGTCAACAATGGTGGTTGTGCCCAGAAGTGCCAGATGGTTCGGGGAGCGGTGCAGTGTACCTGTCACACCGGCTATAGACTCATGGAGGATGGGCGTTCATGCCAGGGTGAGGCGGGACGCTTGGAAGGGTAAAGGTTCAGTAGGTTGTTGAGAGTGATAGATGGGCCCGGGTCCCATTACTTAGAATGCAAGCAGATGTCTAGGCAAGTGAACATCTGGGCAACCAGTGAATTGGGGTGGAAGTTGGACAGAGTGAGAGTTCTGTGATCCATGCCCTTTTCCCTATAGATGTGAATGAGTGTGCGGAGGAGGGCTATTGCAGCCAGGGATGTACTAACAGTGATGGCGCATTCCAGTGTTGGTGTGAGGCTGGCTATGAACTTCGACCTGACCGGCGAAGCTGCAAGGCCCTCGGTAAGGGGAGCTGGGGATGGACCCTGTGGGCATGGGAGCGTTACATCTTCCTGAGGCGGCACCACTTACCCTCTGGGCCCTGCCGGCTGATCTAACCACCTCTACCGTCGTTCAGTGCAGCAAGCGTTTGTTAAGTCCCTACCGTATGCCAGACACTATGCTGTGCACTGGGGGTGCAGAGACAAAAATGAAACTGTCCCTGACCTCAGGGAGCTTATGTTCTGTTGGGAGGATACAATATGTACACAAAGAAGTCAACACAAAGTAAATTCCAAGTAATTTCAGTGTGGTGAGAGAGGCTTAACTCCTCCTTCTACCTGAGCCAAGCCTTGAAGAAAGCACAAATGAAAAGAAAGCACATTCCAGGAATGAGGGACAGATAGTGGGGGCAAAAGCATGGAGGTAAGAAGCGGAAGAGAAATGCTCTGTATGGTGAGGAGCTGCTGTCCAGGTGGCTTGGACACTAGAGTGTGAGAGGGGGAATAATGAAATCTAAGTCCCTGAAGAAAGACTGGAGCCAGACTGGGGGCAGGAACTCTAAGTATCTAATAATAGTTAACAGCAATAATAATAGCACTTTGAGGTTTGTAAAACATGTATCTAAGCAGTAATAGGGAGCCACTTTAGCTTTTTGAGCAGGAGAGTGACAGGCTCAGATCTGTATTTAGAGAAAATTGTTTTGGCAGCTGTGTGGAGAATGGATTGGAAAGGCGAGAGAGACTCTAGGCTGGGAGACCACAATAGTTCAGACCTGAACTAGGGTGATGGCCATCTTAGTGAAGAGTAAGAGAGCAGGTGAGGAAGGTGAGGCCCTAGCAAGTTAAATGACTTGCCCAAAGCCATACAGATAAGTAGGCATCTGAGGTAGGATCTGAACCCAGGTCCTCAGACTCCAGATATCGTTAAGGTAATCAGTCCTTTACAGAGATTAACTGAAATGTGGAGCAGCTGTTCTTTCAGTGAGAGGGATAAGTCGCAGCACCCTAGGATCTGAGAGAGATGTTTCTAGGGTATAGCTGTAGCTGAAGGCTTCTTCTTCTACCGCTGCCTCTCCTCCTACCTTGAGGTTTCAAGCAGAAGCTCTTGGGTAAGGGGTTCCCATCTAATGGGCCTGGAAGGCATCAGTGGGCTTGTGAGCCAAGGGACAGGCCTGGAGCCTGGGCTTAGGCCCCGTCTCTCTGCTGTGTCCCAGGGCCAGAGCCCGTGCTGCTCTTCGCCAATCGGATCGACATCCGGCAGGTGCTGCCGCACCGCTCCGAGTACACGCTGTTACTCAACAACTTGGAGAACGCCATCGCGCTTGACTTCCACCACCGGCGGGAGCTCGTCTTCTGGTCAGATGTCACCCTGGATCGCATCCTGCGAGCCAACCTCAATGGGAGCAATGTGGAGGAGGTGGTGTCTACAGGCCTGGAGAGCCCAGGTAAGAAGAGTTGAATCCCAGGGTGAGTGGGAAGTCGCCAGAAGGGAGAAGAATAGTGCAGCATGGTTACCTGAAGTGAGAAAGGTGTGCTGTGGACCAGGAAGCTAAGATTCCACCTAGAACTTGTGGGTTACTCGACCAGCCAACACGGGAAAGGGATGGGAACATAGACTGGATTCCCTGGCGCTCAAGCACTCCCTCCCTCTCTGTGCCTGGTCAGGGGGGCTGGCTGTCGACTGGCTCCATGACAAGCTGTACTGGACGGACTCAGGCACCTCTAGGATTGAGGTAGCCAACTTGGACGGTGCCCATCGGAAGGTGTTGCTGTGGCAGAACCTGGAGAAGCCCCGGGCCATTGCCCTGCACCCCATGGAGGGGTGAGTGAGAGCCTCAGGGCGTATGTCAACCCCCCACCCGCTAGCCACTCCGTGCAGAACAGAGGCATTGGGCCCCATCTTCCTGGGTGAGGGATTCCCACGTAATGGGCCTGAGGGCCGAAGTAGGTTTGTGAGCCAACAAACTGGCTCACGAGCTACTGCTCCCCTTCCAGCCTGGCAAAGAGGAAGCCTGGGGAAAGGAAATCCTGAAACAGTGACTTTTTGTGCCGTACTCCATGGGGGAGGGGACTTGCCTAAAGGAACCCGCAGTCATGAGCCTTCTTGGTGCGGGGCTGAAAAGGCTGGGCTTAGAGTCGAGAGGATTCCACCTTAGTGACTTTGGGCAAGTCACTGATCTCTTCTTGGCTAAATGTTTCCTCATCGTAAAAGGGGTATAATAGCACCTGTGATATCACAGGGTTATAATAATAAAATGATAGGTTTGGAACTGGAAAGGACCTTGAAGGTCATCAGATCCAATCCCATCATTTTACAGATGGGGAAACGGAGGCCTAGAGAGGTTAAGTTACTTGTGCAAATTCACACGTCTAGCAAATTTCTGAGGTGGGATTCAAACCCAGGTCTTCCTGACTCTTCCTGAAGTCTTATGCGCTATACTCTACACCAGAGCTGTCAGATACACCATTCGCAGCCCACAACATCCCCAAGTACAGTCTGAAACAGATTAAAAATGTAATTAAGAAATATTTAACTAAATAAAAATACAGTAAACCGTAGATAATGTTAATTTGTGGCTTTCTAGGTCAATAGATGACCTGCAGGGACCCTTATGTACAGTTTAGTGGCCCTTACTTCTGTCTGAGTTTGAAACCTCTGTCCTGCATCACACTATAAGTGACAGATGAGATCAAAGCACTTGGCAAACCTTATAGCATAATGGAAATGTAATTGTTACTGTTGTAACCACCAGGAGGGAATAAAAATTGGACTTACCTTTTCACTGGTATAAGAAACTCCCAGATGAGGACACTCCCTCTACTAGTGCAGGTTGGCACTTTTTGTGCAAATCATAGTCTCAGAGAGCTGCTGAGAAATGAAGTGCCTTGCCCGGATTTCTCCATACAGCCAGTATATGTAAGAGGCAGGACTGGAATCCATATCTTCCAGAATTCAAGACCCTACACCATGTTGGCATCCATTCTGCCATTACTACCAATAATCTTAGAATAATGGCAAATATCTCATGGACATTGAACAAGATGTTATTTGAATAAATACTAACTCTATTCACGATTCCATCCACTTCTCCTGGCTCGTGGGCGCACACCCAAACTACATCTCAGCTGCCTTTCTTCCCTTCCTAGTACCATTTATTGGACAGACTGGGGCAATACCCCTCGCATTGAGGCGTCCAGCATGGATGGTTCAGGGCGACGCATCATTGCTGATACTCACCTTTTTTGGCCAAACGGGCTCACCATTGACTACGCCGGACACCGAATGTACTGGGTGGATGCCAAGCACCATGTCATTGAACGAGCTGACCTTGATGGAAGTAACCGCAAAGCTGTCATTAGCCAGGGTGAGGCTTCCTACCTACCTCCTGGCACTCTCTTTCCCTGTTCTACCTCCCTGGGCCCCAGTTTCATACTGCCATGGAATCGGAGCTAGAAGGGACTTTGGAGATCGTGGAGTCCACCCCTCATTTTATAGGTGGGGAAATTAAGGCCTGGAGAAGTTACAGTGACTTGCCCAAGGCCACACAGTAAGTATCCTAGTCAAAATTTGAATCCAGGACTTCCTGAGTCCAAGTCAGTCAGTCAATCAACAGCATTTATTAAGTGCTTACCAGGGGTGTGCTCAAGCCAGTTCATATTGGAGCTGATTGTTAAATTTTCACCTTGAGCATTTTACACCTCTGACATCATCAAACACTATAAATGAGGTTTTGACTTATTGTTTTGTTAATTGTCTAGACAAGAAAACGATGGAGAAAAATGTTAACAATGAAGATTGAAGTTAAAAGTGTGTTCGTGTGTGTGTGTGTGCACATATGATTTATTTGTTTATTTTACTTCTGAGAGCTGGTTGTTAAATATTCGCCAACAAGCACACCACTGGTGCTTATCATGCACCAGATACCAGGCACTGGAACAGGCACGTAGATACGTAAAAAGGCAAAACCAGTCTTTGCCGTTGAGAAGCCCTCTAGCAATTATGCCGTGTTTCCTCTCCTGTAGAATAAGGGTTGGACTCAATAATCCTAACATGCCTTTCAGCTCCAGATCGCATGAGCCCATTTGTCTATTCCCGCGGGGTGCTGGGAACTTCAGTAGGGAGCAGATGCCCCGCATTCTTTTGGCTGAGAGATTGAGCTAGAATTAGCTGGCGTTGGGTCCGGGACCATCGGCCTGCCGGGGCTCTGGACTGAGGGCATTCTGGGCCTTTTTACAGGCCTCCCGCACCCCTTTGCCATCACGGTGTTTGAGGATAGCCTCTACTGGACGGACTGGCACACCAAGAGCATCAATAGTGCCAATAAGTTCACCGGAAAGAACCAGGAGGTCATCCGTAATAAGCTGCACTTCCCCATGGACATCCACACCCTGCACCCCCAGCGACAGCCAGCAGGTAGCCACCCTCTGGGCAGCCAGCCCAGCCTGCCCCTCCGTGCCTCCCAAGTCCTCCCAGGGCCCCTCCCTCCCCTTGTCCTTGCCCTGGCTGGGCGAAACCCAAGGTTGGGACAGGCACAAGGCAACTGCCCCCTCTGCTGGCGACTGCAGGTAGCACATCTCTGAGCTCTCGTCCCCGCCTTGGGCTCTCCAGCCTCTGGTCTTATGGGGGTCCTCTTACCCTGGGGTATTTGAGCAGGGAGAAACCGCTGTGGGAACAACAATGGAGGCTGTACCCACTTGTGCCTGCCCAGCGGCCAGAATTACACCTGTGCCTGCCCCACTGGCTTCCGAAAGACCAGCAGCCACACCTGTGCCCAGAGTAAGTGTTTGGGGAGGGGGCACCCCGCGGGGATTCTGGGGGCAACCTTGAAAGAGGACTTACCTGCAGGACATTCCAAGAACAGGCCTATTGCCAGGGATGTGGAATGAAATGATTTTAAAGGGTCCTAGCAGCTGCAGCTTTGGGGTCATGGTGTGAAGGAGGGCTGGGTCTTGGAGTCAGGCAACACCTGGGTTTGAATGCCTACTGTGTGCCAAGCACTGTGCTAAGCGATGGGGATACAAAAAAAAAGAGGCAAAGGGCAGTCCTTGCCCTCAAGGAGCTTACAATCTAGCAGGAGAGACAAGCAAACACCTCTGTAACTTATTAGTTGTGGGGCCTTGGACAAGTCACTTAACCTTGTTGAGTCTGCATTTGCTCATCTGTAAAATGGGCATCGTCGCAGCTGTAGTGCCTAACTCTTGGGGTTGTTGTGAAGAAGAGGCATGGTAGAGAGCACTGATTGGAGGCAGAGGCCATAGGGCGCTAGAATTGGAATCAGGAAGACTTGGGTTCAAATGCTGCCTCACATGGTTACGAGCTGTGCACCTCAGTTCCCTAGTGGTAAAATGGAAGAATTGGTCTTGACTCAGTGGTCTCTAAGGTCTCATCCAGCCCAAAATCTATGGTCGTACCGAGTGAGGCGATGTACATAAAAGTACATAAACTTCAAAGTGCTCTGTCAAGGTTGAGGCGGAAGCCAGCTGAACTGGCCTATCATTCCACCAGCGAGTAGGATGAATCCTCTGGTGGCCCTTTCTGCAAGTCTGCTCAAGGGCAGCAAATACACAGCGTCATTCCCTCCTAGAAGGCAGGAGAGAAGCTTCCCACCCACTCTATCCCCCTATGGCGAGCTCCCCTAAACTTGGGTGTTTATCGACTGATACATAAGAGTATTCCCAGCATCCAAAGGGCTGCTGAAGGTTCAAGGATCAGGGCGTCTCTTTCAATCCAGGAACCAAGTAGCTGATATTGGACCTAGTACCGATGCTAAGCCATGGTAGACCCTTAGTCCCTGTGTGTCAAGTGAATGTATGAATGAATGAATGAATGAATGAATGAATGAATGAATGACTTCCTGTATCCTGGGCCAAAGATCAAGGTCTCCCCCTGAGCACCTGCTTTTTTTAGATTGTAAGCTGCTTGAGGTCAGGGTTGGTCTTTGGCCCCTTCTTGTATTCTCAGAGCTCAGCACGATGCTTGGCACGTAGTAGGTGCTTAATAAGTATCTCTTGATCGCTTGGTTGCTTTTCGGGAGGGGAGAGTCTAGGCAAAGTTATTACCAAGACTTGCTATGCTGTATCTAATGTCTTGGGTAGCGTCACTCCTGTGTACCCCAGACATGGCTTGCGTTAGATTATGAGACTCTACACGGGCCCAGGGCCCTTTCGCAGGGCACTGGTATTCCGTCTAAATCACTGGTGATAGTGGGACCCATTCTGGGGAACTCTCCCTAAAGCAGGAATTCTTTACCTGTTTTGTGTCCTGGAGCCCTCTGGCAGCAGTCTGATGAGGCCTATGAAGTCCCTTCTCAGAATCAGTCCTATACGAACCTTCAAGTCCTAAATGTCCATTATTATTATTATTATTATTGTGTTATTATCATTATTCTCTCCATTTGATCCCAAAGTTTTATCTGACTACTCAGGCTGCCCTGTGCCCAAAGTGGGATTAAGGTTTAGAGCACATGGGAGCAGATGGGACAGAAGGGAACAGCTCCGGGAGGTCACGCAGCCCCAGGCAGGTGGTGTGATTAAGCCAGATGTCACGCAGGTGATTGTCTGTGTCTGTCACTGTGTTGTTGGATTTAGAGGATTAAAAGAAGACCCCCCCTTTCGGCCTTTGATCAGGTCTTGACAAGTTCCTGCTTTTTGCCCGAAGGATGGACATCCGTCGGATCAGCTTCGACACGGAGGACCTGTCCGACGATGTCATCCCACTGGCTGACGTGCGAAGCGCCGTGGCTCTTGACTGGGACTCCCGCGACGACTATGTGTACTGGACCGATGTCAGCACCGACACCATCAGCCGGGCCAAGTGGGATGGAACAGGGCAAGAGGTATGGTCCCATCTGGGCAGTCGACCCCCCGGGGAGACCGTCCGCCTCAAATAGAACCTCCTGGTGGTTTTAGCTCTTCGGACTGGCGAGGAAGAATGGGGCTGGGTCCAGGATTGGGGGATCAGCATAGCTGGTGACGCTGCTCCGCTTCTTCCCCAGGTGGTGGTAGACACAAGTTTGGAGAGTCCTGCTGGCCTGGCCATTGATTGGGTCACCAATAAACTGTACTGGACCGATGCAGGTATGTGTAGCAGTGTAGCTGTGCTATCTGGTCTATGAGGAGCTCGGGAGAATTTTTTATCTTGAGATTTCTTTCCCCAAGTGCATCCAAGCCTAATTGTAAGCCTTGGATTCAAGTAGAAGGGGCCCAGTGCCTCTCAGAAAGAGGATCTTAAAATTTTTTGTGTCATGGACGCCTTTAACAGTCTAGTGAAACCTATGTAGCCCTTCTCAGAATTATATTTTTAAATGCATAAAAGGTAGGATTACAAAGGCACAAATTATATTGAAATAAGATGTATTTTTTCCCATCCAAGTTCATAGACCCCATGAAATCTATCCATTGACCCTTTGGGAATCCTCAGGCCTCTAGTTAAGAATCTCTGCTCTAGGATAAAATGTATGTAAAGCCCCTCATGATACAACTTCAGCCTCATTTTCCAGGATGATTACATGAGTCCCTTTTATGCATTTATGTTCCAGTCTCTTAGGCCTATTTGCTATTGCCCATCCACTTCTCATTTCCATGTCTTTGCACGGGCTGACCCCTTGCCTGGAATACCCTCCCTTCTCATTTCTACCTAGAAAAATCCCTAGCTTCCTTTGAGGCTCACCTCATGGACCACATCTTACACAATGCCAGTTACTAGAAGCTTCTCCCCCAAGAAATTACTTTATATTGACTGTCTATATTTTATATTTTCTTATCTGTGTCCATGTTATTTCCCCCAAGGAAAATGCAAATTCCTTGATGATAGGGTCTATCATTACATAATCAACACTTAATAAATATTTATTAAATGAATGAATGGTTTGGGACGGGTAGAAGAAGCTCCCAACTTGAATCTGGGCATTTCCCAACCAGATCACTATTGTTTCTCCTCTATGAATGACCCAAGTGGATATTTGGGGGGCAGGTCAGAGAGGCAGCTACTGGTCCCTCTTTCCTCCCTCCAGTTACTGGTCTGCATGGGTGGGAATTTCTATTGGCCATGCATCACGCTCATATGTGTGATTGGCTGCCTCAGATCTTGGCATATGAGAACACTATCGGTGCCAACTTCGTACAAGAAGGTTGGGCTAGAGAGGCTTTGCATAGCACTGTATGTGACCAATAGCTTTTTTCTCCATCTCTCCATGGGCTCTAGAGGCCTGATGTTTTTGTTTCTCCCATCTTGGCAGGCACAGACCGAATCGAAGTGGCCAACACAGATGGTACCATGAGGACAGTACTAATCTGGGAAAATCTGGATCGTCCTCGAGACATTGTGGTAGAACCCAGGGGCGGGTAAGTATCTCCCCTTCAAGCTGTTCTCAGAATATAATTTGGCCTTCTCTCTTCTCCCCTTTCCCCCATCCCCCATTATCATCTGAATTCAGAAGGACCTAGAATCATCATATAGTATGATCATGAGTTCATATCCTGCCCCAGACACTTACTTAGCTTTGTGATCTTGGGTAAATCACTTAACCTTTCTCAACTTCAGTTTCCTTATCTGTAAAATGGGAGTGATAATAGCACCTACCTTGGAGGATTGTTACGAGGATAAAATGATAAAATACTGAATTTCTTTGCAAACTTTAAAGTGCTACATTAATGTTAGCTATTATAATTATTGTCATCATCATATTTAGAACTTAGAGATCATCTAATCCAGCCCCCTTATTTTTAGGACGAGTCCCAGAGAAATGAATTGACTTCCCATTGATTATATAGGTAGTAAGTAAGTGAGCCAGGATTCGAACCTAGGTCCTCTATCTCCAACTCCAGTACTCACTCTACTCTCTCATACTGTGAGAAAAGCCCAGAAAGGAGACTGAGGCAAGCAGAAAAAAGTAGATAAACTGGGCAGTTTGCCTTCTTGCTGAGAATTAAATGCCTTAGGCAAGAACAGGGACAAAAAGCAAACCAACTTTCTCGGCCCACACCTAGGTTCATGTATTGGACTGATTGGGGTGCAAGCCCCAAGATCGAGAGAGCTGGCATGGATGCCTCAGGCCGCCAAGTCATCATCTCTTCCAATCTGACCTGGCCCAATGGACTGGCCATCGACTATGGGTCCCAGCGTCTCTACTGGGCTGATGCGGGCATGAAGACCATAGAGTTTGCTGGGCTGGATGGGAGCAAGAGAAAGGTGAGGGGGGTATACCCAAAGAAGCCCGGGGAATGGAAATTCTTTGAGGGCAGGGATGGCTTTGGATTTTGTCTTCGTATCCCCAGCCTGGCACACAGTAAATGCTTAATAAATGCAAATTGAATTGAGTTGTCTTTTAGACAGAGGTGGGAGGAGAGGTCTGTGTAGTACAGCCTGCTTTGTAGCTGTGACCTCCTCCCTGGGTTGGTGGGTAGTATTATTTGGTGAAGAGAGTGACCAGGGGAATGGACCATGCTGTGGACTGGGGAGAGTAAATAAGAGGCCCACCTTTTTCATGTATGAAAGTGTTGAGAAGTGCTGGGGGGTTGGCAGGTGCTGATAGGAACCCACCTTCCACACCCCTTTGGGCTGACCCTCTATGGAGAGCGCATCTACTGGACTGACTGGCAGACCAAGAGCATCCAGAGCGCAGACCGGTTGACTGGGCTGGACCGTGAAACACTGCAGGAGAACCTGGAGAACCTCATGGACATCCATGTTTTCCACCGACTAAGGCCGCCAGGTGAGCAGCCTTTTGGGCCAATGCATCCTGCTTCCTTAACCTTCCTACGCTGCTAGTAAGTAGATAGATGGATGGATGGATGGATGGATGGATGGATGGATGGATGGATGGATGGATGGATGGATG